GATGCACATAGGAGCTCAGGACGCCATCTCTTGGTCTGGAAATCAGAAGAATGTTTCTGTGATAGCTTGTGTACCCGACTCTTTCGCGTTCATTGCTGGAGACTTGCAGGTCTCTCATAATACTGTATATAACCTAACCTGTGATCAGTGCTATCTAACTAACTGCCTTAATTTATCTATGAATGTTAGTTCATTTGCTGTATTGAAACAACCTTCTTTTGCCTTTGTACCTGTTAACCTTTCCACCCCTTGGTATGAGGACCCTGGTTTTGCTATCATCCAAAAGGTTAATGACTTAATGTTGGCCCGCACAAAACGGTTCGTAGGAATGCTCATTGCAGGAATATCTGCCTTAATTGTCCTAAACAAGAAAGGGGGAGATGTGGGGGAACCAAGCCCCCCAGGAAGGGGGTCAAGAGTTAGGGTCCTGCATTGTGAGAATGATGCTTGGGCCTGTTCCTTGGCCTCGGGGAGGTGACCTGACATTACCCCGGCCTTGTTGGTTATCGGATTGTTCCCAAGAGAAGGACAGGGGAGGTGCCGGAGCCTTGGGGCGATGCGTCGTGTCCTTGGAGTTAATCTAAACCAGGATGTTCTGTACGTGACCTGAAGGGGTGTGTAAACTTTCTTGAACAAAGACTCTCTTCGTGTAGCAAGCATTCTATTTTTAGAACATCTCACTATATAATGACAGGAGTTTTCAATAAACTTGCCTTTTGCCACCAGAGCAACTGGTCGCTCTCTCTTTTCAGTCCGTCACTGCGCGTCTCGAACCCACTGCCTCGCTGGCCGCGGCAGTCAAGATAGTCTGAGCTCCCAAAAGAGCCAAGGCCAAAGATATCACTTGAATATTTGGTAGTCTGATTATATATGGCGAGATTGAGCAGATTAGTAAATATGTCAAGGATAACAAGGGTTAGGCTTCTTACTGTTAGAGAAAGGGCTGACCAATCTGGAACAGGAGAAGGCCAGAATAAATTTTGGAGTATTGAATTGGAATTGGAGGTGGAGGTATCAGTGTGAACATTTGGTTTTCCAGGTAGGTATTTGTGAACATGTTTGTGAATGTGTACACCTGCATATATCATTCAGCCTTTTCTGCTGACAGAGCCTAGAAGAAATGATACTCCTGTAGCGACAAGCACACTGAAGCCCAGATCTTGGTTTCACTGTACCATTCCCTATTCAAGGAACCAGAGCTCGAATAAATGGCTGTCAGACTGAGGCAAGGAAAGTACAAAATGAGCCTGGAATACCTAGTTTTGCCAGAAAGTAACTATGTGTTCAAAGAATGATAAGCAAAAGGACATAGGAACCAGTCTCAAAGATCTCCTACTGGCCAATCTGAAACATTTTCAGGATAAATAGTGACCCATGTTATTTTGTGGCAAAACATGTAGAAAAATATGCTACTGTGTCGGATAACTTGGAAAGCAGATGTTGTGCCTCTAGACTTTCAATTTCAGGGAAAGATATTAGTTAATATTTGGTGCACTTTACAAGTTACCATAAGACCGATGCGTTCATAAATACCTGGTTAGGTTATAAGCAGTAACAAAAAAGAGAGAGTCTAGAAATTCAGAACTTGTAACACTGAAAGAAATAATTGCTACTGAACTCCAAATAGTAAGTGATAAAAAAATAAGAAACATACTGAGTTTGTGTCAAGGATCAAACCAAGAATGTGGCTGTCAGACCCATGGCTTACACCTCTGAGGGGATGAGGTGGCATCAAATGAATTCTGCCAGTTGGAGAAAAGGGATCAGGAAAAACAGACTCAAGTGTGGCTCCGTAGAATTCCCCAGTGTTAACTCTTCACCACATCAGCCTGATCATGTTTGCTGTCTCTCTGCTCTCTCTGTAGGCATGCACATGCACATGTGGCCACACAGACATACTCACCATAATTACTTTCCTGTAACCTTTGAGACATTGCAGACATGGTGCCTGTTATCCCGAATACTTCAATGCTAATCTACAAAAACCCCAAAGCTAACACCATCCTAACTGATGAGAGTCTGAGTGCTTTTCCCCTAAGATCAGGAAAAAGGCAAAGTTGTCTGCACCTGCCCCTTCTATCCAACAGCACTCTGGGAGTTCTAGAGAGGGCGATCCACCAGGAAAAAGTGATGAAAGGGGTAACCAAATTAGAAAGTAAGACATAAAATTACCTCTTCTCACTGATAATATGATTGTGTACTTAGAAAATCCAAAGCAATCGACTAAAAAACAATGAGAACTATTGATAGTTAACAAGTTCGAGGTTGAAGGACACATGATCAGTGTACAAAAATTAATTGTATTTTATATATTAGCAATGAACAAACCAAAATGACATTAAGGAAACAATTTCACTTACAGTAGCATCAAAGAGAATATAATACTTATGAATAAATTTTTTAAAGGAAGTAAAAACTGTGCTCTGGAAACTACAAGACATTATTGATAGAAATTAAAGAACTAAATAAATGGAATGACATCCCTTGTTCATGCACTGGAAGACTTAATGTTGTTAAGGTGGCAGTACTCCCCAAATTGATCTGTACATTCAATACAAACTCTATCAAAATATCATCTGCCTCTTTTGAATAAATTGAAAGCTGACTATGCCAAATGTCGAAGGAAATGCAAGACACCCAGACTAGCCAAAACAATTAAAAATAAAACAAGACAAAGTTGGAGGATCCATACTTCCTGATTTTAAAACTTACTGAAAGCTATAGTATTCAGGAACATAGTAGTGGCATGAGGATAGACATGTAGACTGAAAGGATAGAATTGAGAGTCCAGAAATAAAGCCTCACATGGTCAATTGATTTTGTGACAAGGGTAGCAAGATGACTCAATGGAGAAAGAATAATCTTTTTAACAAATGGTGCTGGGACAACTGGATATCCACATGCAGAAGAATAAAGTTGTACCTGACCCTTATATCACATGTACAATATTAACTCAAAATTGATCATAGGCGTGAATGTAAGAGCTAAAATCATTAAATCCCAAAAGAAAGCAGAGGAGTACATCTTCCTGATCTGAGGGTAGGCAATGAATAGTTTCTTAGATATGACACCGAAACCCCATGCTACAAAAGAAAAAATAAACTGGACTAAATAAAAATTAAAGCTTTCATGTTTCAAAAAACAACATCATGAAAGTGAAAGACATCCCACAGAATAGGAGAAAATATTTGCAATTTGTACATCTTACAAGGGACTTATATTCAGAATACATAAAAAATACTTAACACTCAGAAATACAAATATGCAAAGGATCTAAATACACATTTATCCAAAGAATATGTAAATGACCAATGAACATATTCAAATAGGGTGAAAACATTCAAATAGGGTAGGAAGTTATATAGTATGCCTATATATGTATTAGAAGATATACCTCCTTACCTATCTAAATTTTCTCTCTATGTATTACCTTATCGATTAAAAAAGAGCTCATTTAAAAAGGTTTAAAAGATGAAAATCTCTTCCAGGCCCCAAGTTTTATTATATCATCATTCTGCATAACACTGTTCAATAGAGCATCTCCAAGAATCTATTATAAATGAATATTAGAAAATGGTTGTTTGTATGATTTGAGACTTACTGCTGAATATCTTGTAAACCATGTAGCTAATTTTGTCACCAGGGAACTGGATATCATTCAGTGTGCCATAGAATATGCCTGGCTATTTCTTTCCTAGATGAAGTGACTAGTCCTCAAAGGCCAGTTTCTTGAAAACAGTGAGAGAATTTCAGATGGATGCCCCTTTCCCTAATGTAGAGAAGGTGCCATGGCAGGGTAGAAATACATTGCCGTTTGTGTCAGCCTAATGTTTGAATCACAACTCACACTCCAATTCTGTATGACCTTGCACAAATCCCATTATCTCTTGATACCAAAGATTCTTCTTGTATAAGGGGGGAGTAACTTCTGCCTGGCCGGTCTCAGGAGGGGCTGTAGGGATGTGGTGAGATTATGGATATGGAGAAGCTAATCAAGTCAAAGGATTATTAAGAATTTCACTACTCATCACATGTAGGCAATGTTTTGAAAACATCCTAAAAAGGAGTAGCTAAATATTCAAGTGTCAGCTTTCTAAAGTTTTTTGAAAAGACAGAACAGGTGAGCAGCAAAGGTGGACTGGCTCAGAACATATGGGGGTGTATTGCTCTCTACAGTGTGTAACAGATACCTTAATTAAACACGTGAAATGAAGCTCTTTGTCAGAGGTCCAATTTTAGAATTATGGAGTGGTAAAGAAATACTCAGGGTAAGACTCGAGGTACTTAAATTACAGGGACCTCAGCAATTCACAGTTGTTGTGGCAAATGTGCTACTGCTTCTTGCTTTGGGAAAATTTGTCACTTCAAAAGCTGGTCCAAGAAGAGTAGAGAGAAATGGCTTAATTAAAAGGCAATTTTAACACATAACTCAGATTAATGGTTGGGAATGTCCTTTCCACATGTGATTCCAAAGGAAAGGAAGAAAGGGAATTCTGCTTTAATAAGGCAAATACCTCAGGTAGAACAGAGCCATCCTGGATGATTCCTGAAGGCCTCAACAAGGCGGGAACAGGAGCATGGGACAGGCATTCCCACACAATTCACAGGAGTACACTCACACGGAACCCTGTATCTCCAAAGATGAACTCAGCTTTTTCGCAGTAAAGAGGCATTAGTATGGCAAAAAGGTATTGCTTAATAATTTAGCACATGCATTAACCTAAGAAGGGTTTAAAAGTCACTTATTGGGAAAAAGCAACTTATTGTCAGCCCATTTTCAATTGAGAATTTTATTACCATTTTATGCTAAAGGTTATCATTTCTCTTTTTTGTTTTCTTTTATATTTAATATTTTGTGAAACAAATACATCATTGAATATTTAATTATTTTTCCCCTTTCTGAGTTTTCTCACTCCTCTGCCATTCCTTTTCCCTGGAATATGTAACAGTTTCATTAACCAGAAATTAAACAGGGGTTTTTTTAAAGTATTACTTGTCTGATTGCTTCTTGGCCTTTTGGCTAAGATCAAGTATAGTATCTGTTCTTATCAGGTTTTAAAAAAATATCACTTGTCTGATACAGGCTTATGATAGGAACTTGTGTTAAAAAGAAAGTGGGGACTGGATATTAGTGACCAATGAGCTTAATATGCACAACATAATCCCTCTTTCCTCTTTGCCAGAAGAGATGCTTTAAAACACACACACACACACACACACACACACACACACACACACACACACAAAATAAACTTGGGTTCCATACATGGAAATAAAATGCTTGGAGCACAGAAAAGTTGTAGTTCTGTTTTCTGCTGATCAAACCACAACTGAGATAAAGAGTTCAATTTAGAAAAACATAATATGGGAGAAATATGGAGGAGGGCCACCAGAACAGAAAGAATATGGAAACAGTCACATTCTTCCATGGGAGGAAGCACAGAAGGCATTTGGGAGGATTGGCCTGAGGAAGAGAACAAAAGAAGGAGATAGGAAAATAGTCTGAAAATAGACAAAGAGCCACTAGGTAAAAGAACTTGTGAATTTGTGTTATATTTATCCAAAGAACTAGGATTCTTATGCAGAAGTCAGAGGAAGTACATTAAGGGTTAAATTATTCAAAATTATGTTCTAGCAAATAGACCTACCTAAAAATCAATATGCTATCTTGGAAAGTAGCCATTTCCCCACCATTCAAGTAGAAAATAAATGGGCATCTATCAGGGACACTGTAGAGCAGCACTGTCCATGGAATTGTGTGCAGTGATGGAAAGGTCTTAGGTCTGTCCTGTCAAGATAGGTTGCCTTAAGTAGCTCAGTTGGTTAGAGCATTGCCCTGATATGCTGCCAAGGTTGCAGGTTTGACCCCTGGTCAGGGCACATGCAAGAATAAACCAATGAATGCGTAAATCAGAGAACAACAGATCAATCTCTCTCCCTCTCCCCCCTTTATCTCTCTAAAAGTCAATCAATAATTTTTTTAAAAAAGGTTGCCTTAGATATGAACCCACATTATGCTTTCACTCCAACAGAAGGGAAGGCAGAGAACACAGCATGGGTGCAGTTGAGTGAAGAGTTAGGGATGGTGATGGCATTTGGAAGTTCTCTTCAGATTGATTTTATTTTCTTAGTGAAATAAGAAACAAACCATCTGCTGAGAGCTGGAAGGGACAGACAGTTGTTGAAAGCACGAAGAAAGAGAACATGTGAAATAGTCACCTTGAAAAGTGAGACAGTGAGATTTTATGGAAGATTTTAGCTCCTGGATCACTGCCAGTCTCTCCAAAGTAGTTCTATAAAATGCAATGATTTCAGTATCCATGTAAGCAATCCTTCTAAAACTCTGGCCTCTCAGTTTCTTGCTCTCTGCTGTTCCAATGATCTTTCCCTCCAACCTATGTAACTTTTCTCCAATTAATATCCCACAAAATCCTAGACATTATCGTTTACATAAAATGGCCATTTTCCCATAATTTCAAATTCAATCACTTCACTTTTTTTGGCACTGTCTTCCAAGTTTCCAGCTTATTTCTTCTAGAGCCCAGAATCCAGCAATTCTTCACTCCATCCCTGCAGCCTTTTCACTATCCCTCATTCCACTCCATTTTAGTTGCCCCCACCTCTTATAGCTTAGATGCTTTGGTCAACCATAATCATGCTCTTGAATATAGCCTTGACTCCTTGTCCCCTGCCTATCCCTTCTCACTGCTCATGGATAGCACTCTAGCAAATTCTCCCATCTCTTGTGTTTTTTTTTTAAATTTTCTTTCTCTTCCTGACTTTTCTTTCTTTATACAATATATGCTATAATTTCTCCCATTAATAAAAACACCATTTTAAAGTAGATTTTATTGATTATGCTATTACAGTTGTCCTACTCTTTCCCTCTTTGCTAGTACCCCCTCAGCCCAGAAACCCCCCCCCCCCCACCCACCCATTCTCTCCAGCAATCCCCCTCTAGTTCATGTTCATGCATCATACATATAAGTTCTTTGGCTTCCCCATTTCCTATATTATTCTTAATACCCCCCTGTCTACTTTGTACCTACAAATTAGGGTTCATAATTCCTGCATCTTTCCCCCATTCTCCCTCTTCCCCCTCTCAGCTGATATCCCTCCAAATGATCTCCATATCTAAGAATCTGTTCCTGTTCTAGTTGTCTGCTTAGTTTGTTTTCATTTTTTAGATTCAGTTGTTGATAGTTAATGAGTTTGTCATTTTATTGTTCATGGTTTTGATCATTATCTTTTTCCTAAATAAGTTTCTAACATTTCCTGCAATAATGGTTTGGTGATTATGAATTCCTTTTACTTTTTACCTTACCTGGGAAACACTTTATTTGCCCTTCCATTCTAAATGAAAGCTTTGCTGGATAGAGTAATCTTGTTTGTAGGTTCTTGCGTCTTATCAATTTGAATACTTCTTGCCAGTCCCTTCTTGCCTGCAATATTTCTTTTGAGAAATCAGCTGATTAGTCTTACAGGAACTCCTCTGTAGGTAGCTCTCTCCTTTCCTCTTGCTGCTTTTAACATTCTCTCCTTATCTTTCTTCTTGGGCAACTTAATTATGATATGTCTTGGTGTGTTCCTCCTTGGGTCCAGCTTCTTTGGGACTCTCTGAGCTTCCTGGACTTCCTGGAAGTCTATTTCCTTTGCCAGAATGGGGAAGTTCTCCATTATTTGCTCCAAAAAGTTTTCAGTTTCTGGCTCTTCCTCTTCTCCCTCTGGCACCCCTATGATTTGGATATTGGAGCTTTTAAAGTTGTCCCATAGGTTCCTAATCCTCTACTCATTTTTTTTTAATTCTTGTTTTTTCATTCTGTTCTGGTTGCATATCTATTTCTTCCTTTTGTTCCAAATCATTGAATTGAGTCCCAGTTTCCTTCCCTTCACTGTTGGTTCCCTGTATATTTTCCTTTGTTTCACTTTGTATAGGCTTCACTTCTTCCTTCATTTTGCAACTGAGCTTAATCAGGTCTGTGAGCATCCTGATTACCAGTGTTTTGAACTCTGCATCTTATGGGTTGTCTATCTCCTCATCACTTACTTCTTTTTCTGGAGTTTTGATCTGCTCTTTCATTTGGGCCATATTTTTTTTTCTCGGCACACCAGTCTAGATGAATGTTTCTTTAGCTCCTTGGTTGTTGGACTTACATGCAGTTTGATTTTATGGCAGCTATGTTTGGTTTTTGTTTTTAAATTGGTTCTTATCCTTCTTTTGGTTGCAAGGAAGCAAAGCCTTTCTACCTACGTTTCCATCTTGACCAGAACCCTAATAAAATATTTTTAATAGAGAAAGCTTTATATTTTAGTACACTTAACTGCATTTTTCATGCTTTTTGAAATAAGTAGACCTGTATTTTCATTTTGTATTGAACACTGCAAATACTTAGCTGAACCAGAGTATGAGAATGAGCTGTTGAGGGAGTCCAGACCTGATATACTCAGGTTTCTTTTTCTCTTTTTTTTTCCCTTCTGGAAAGTTGGAAGCAAGAAGATGGGAGTGGGATTGGGGATTAAAGGAGGATGGGTTCCGAGTGGTGGCTCCATGGAGAGTTTTAAAGGTTTAAAATGTTATGTGGGAAATTAGTAAGGTAATGTAGCACTTTTTCTGAGGGATTTTAAATACTTTGAACACAATAATTTCCATAGGTTTTAAAAAATTATGACATATATAAGATTCACTTTTTGACCAATAATAAAGAAAAGTACATTTGGGAATTATCCTATTTCTATCAAAATATTTGCTGGGTTTAATATCATGTTGTGAAAAGCGAGATAACACTTAGCTTGACTTGATATGAAATAAATGATGTGCTAAGGCCTCAATTATATAGATGATAGAGAATAAATATAAAAGTATCATGTAACTAAAGCATTAATAGGCTCTATAGTCATTGAATTTAGTTTTGGTAAACTATAAAATATGAATTTTATTGTGAAAATGTATTTTGGGGAGTTGAGGGAAGGGCAAAAAAGGTGAAAGTTATTAAGAAACACAAATTTCCAGTTATTAAAATAGTTACAGGATATAAAGTATAAGATGGGAAATATAGTCAATAATATTATTATAACTATGTATGGTGTCAAATGGGTACTAGGCTATTGAGATGATAACTTATAAGGTATTTAAACAGAAATATGAAAAGATTCTCAACATCACTAGTTAAAAGGGAAATGCAAATCAAAACTGCAATGAGATGCCACCTCACACCTATTAAAATGGCTATGATCAACAAAACAAGAAATAACAAGTGTTGGAGAGGATGTAGAAAAAAAGGACCCTTCACACACTGCTGGTGGAAATGTAAGTTGGTGCAGCCACTATGGAAAACGGTATGGAGGTTCCTCAAAAAATTAAGAATAGGACTACCATGTGATCCAGCAATCCCTCTTCTGGGTATCTACCTCAAAAATGTGAAAACAGTTATTTGTAAAGGTATATGTACCCCTATGTTCATTGCAGCATTATTCACAATAGCCAAGACATGGAAATAACCTAAGTGTCCTTTAATGGATAATTGGATAAAGGAGACATTGTACATATAAACAATGCAATACTACTTAGCCCATAAGAAAAGATGAAATACTGCCATTTGTGACAACATGGATGGATCTTGAGAGTATCATGCTAAGTGAAATAAGTCAGACAGAAAAGCACAAGCACTATGATTTCACTCCTTTGTGAGCTATAAAACTGAAACTCAGAGATACAGACAGACAACAGTATGGTGGTTCCCAGAGGGAAGGAGGTGGGAGGTGGTAGAGGATAAATGGGGCCAAATATATGGTGATGGAAGAAGACTTGACTGTGGGTGGTGGGCACACAGTGCAATATACAGATTATGTACCACAGTAATGTATGCTTGACACCTCTAGGACCATATTAACCAATGTCACACTGATACATTTAATACAAATAAAAAGATAAGTGAAATTTATTAAAAATGAAATGAAATGAACAAAGGAAACAAACTCATAGATACAGACAAGAGAATTATGGGTACCAGAGGGGAAATGAGGGTGGGGGAAGAAGAAGGGGTAATGGGGGTCAAATATATGGTGACAGAGGAGACTAGACTTTGAATGGTGAGCACACAGTGATGTATACAAATGTTATAAAGTTGTACACCTGAAATTTATGTTATTAACTAATGTCATCCCAATAAAGTTTAATAAAAAGAAAGAAATATTT